AAAAAAAAAAAAAAATGTCTACCTGAACTCAAAATGGATATTTAGAAGCTTTTTTAAAAAAAATGTATGGGTGAGAGTTCTTACATAATGTTTTAAGCATTTAAGTTATTGGAGATATTTTTTTTCTAATTATCATTAGTTGCCTGACAGTCACTTGGGGCTGTGTTTATTCTCGATGCAGAAAAATCTGAATGTTTGGAATATGTGCGTATACGTATCGAATCCCTAAAACAGAGCAATATTTCTCTTCCAGATTATGTCCCCATTGGCCCTCGATTTTCTAATCTGGTATTACAGGCTCTTCTCGTGTTACTGAAAAAGGCACCTCCTCAGGTAAAAATAATACAAGGAACCTTTCACAGAGTTTTTCCAGTAAACCGCACATAATGGTGCGAATGAGCTGGCCAATAAGCAAGCGACCATAAACATATAAAATTCTGTTGTTGAGGGGCTTTTGCAAAATCCTCTGGTTTGGCCTTCGATTTGAAGGTAAATGATTTTCTTAACAGAGAAGTGTCCTTTTCTGAAGATCTCAAGATCCTAGTTTCGATTGGTGTTCTGTTCTTGTTGTTCTATAAATTCCCCCCCATATTACACATTCCTCCCTGCCTCCCTCTCCCTTGAAAGACTATGATATTCGTGTAGGAGGGATTAAATGCATGTTTCCATTTGTTTCATTTATCATTTCCTAGGTTTTCCTAAGAATTTGTATTTGGGAAAATTCATTTCCCGTAGGCAGATTTTCTTCTTCTTTTCTTTTTAAAAATTTTTACAGTTAAGCTTGAATTGTTTCTCTTGTGTCATGTGGCACTTTTGAGTAGGGAGTTTGTAGCCAGGATCTTTGTTCATGTGGTTGCATTTTTACTGATGCTGCTATTGGAGACTGGTGATTTTGATAACTTAACACATTTAAAACTAATCTACAAGGGTTGGTTAAATATGTTAATTATGTAGAGGCTTCCAGAGCATGTTTGGCTATGACACAAGACCCAAATTCTCGACTGATTTTATATACTGTGACCTTGAAGAAATGCCAGACAAAAGCAGATACAAAGGGGTTAAGCAGTAAGTTGAAAAACATCTTAATGTCTGTATGGGAATCTGGTATTTGAAGTTAGAGATTCTAACTAAGTTACATGGAAAATATTTAATGTTAAGTTGGTGAATCTACTTTTTAATTTAACAGTTAAAAGTGTGTGTGTGTGTGTGTGTGTGTGTGTGTGTGTCAGAACTAAGTGATTGACTTGTCTTGATTTTCTAAGATTTTTTGTTTTTTTTGTACTTCTAGAATAGTTAAAAGAAACAGAAGGTACAACAACCTTGAAAATTTACTGCGTACATGGACTGTAAGGATTTTGTAATCATTTTTTCATAAACTATCATTCCCAGTAATTGCAGTTTTAGCTCATAGTAAAGTTAGAGAAGTGAGTATATTTTTCCCTTTTCTGATTCCTTCAATAAGTATGTAAATAGATACAGCTAAAGTTGCTGACAAAGGATATACCCCCAAATCACCATGTATATCACCTACAAAAAGAATCCTTTCTTATGAAATAGCATTTAAAAATTACTAGATTGGAAGACTCTCCAGGCATTTAAATGTGTATCTTATTCAGTTTTTAGGAGAAGGAAGAATAATTTTTTAATGGTATTTTTTAAACCGCTTGTCCTTTACACTGTTGAACACATTCATTTAAAAAGAGAGACATACCTTAGTTGAGAATACAAATTATTATTTGTAATCCAAAATAGATGCCAGTAGAAATAAAATAGGACATATTAAAAAAAAAAAAGACAACCCTTTAAAGACTTAGGAATAACTTTCCATTTTATAAAAATAATTGTAGGGGCGCCTGGGTGGCGCAGTCGGTTAAGCGTCCGACTTCAGCCAGGTCACGATCTCGCGGTCCGTGAGTTTGAGCCCCGCGTCGGGCTCTGGGCTGATGGCTCAGAGCCTGGAGCCTGTTTCTGATTCTGTGTCTCCCTCTCTCTCTGCCCCTCCCCCGTTCATGCTCTGTCTCTCTCTGTCCCAAAAATAAATAAACGTTGAAAAAAAAAATTTAAAAAAAAAAAAAAATAATTGTAAAATTCTTGAGGAAAGGAACATTATCTAATGTTTTTAAATCTTAACATCTGGTACAGGTTTATACAGATGTACTTCATGAATAACTTATTCAACAAAAAACATAGATAAGTTCTTTTCTTTTTAACTTTTTTTTAAAGTTTATTTACTTTTTCTGAGAGAGAGAAAGAGAGCGAGGGAGGGACAGAGAGAATCCCAAGCAGACTCCACACTGTCAGTGCAGAGTCCAATGCAGGATTTGAACTCACGAACTGTGAGGTCATGACCTGAACCAAAAAAAAAACAAAAACAAAAAGAGTCGGATGCTCAGCTGACTGAGCCACCCATGTGCCCCTAGATAACTTACTTCTAAAGGTATTTTTTGCATGTCCCCTCATTTTGGTGGGCTTAAGTATTTTATTTTGTACTGTAATTTATATTTGTCGAGGTATGATTAAAGTGAAAACATTCAAAAGTAAATAAATTTCAAATGACCAATAAGCACATGAAAAGATACTCCACATCCTTAGCCATCAGGGAAATGAAAATCAGAGCCTTAGTGAGATACCACTTCATACCTACCAGGATGGCTACAGCCAGAAAGTCAGATAGTAACAAGTGTTGCTGTGCATTTGGAGAAATGGGAACCCTTATACACTGCTGATAGGAGTATAAAAATGGTGCAGCCTTCGGGTCTAGTTCCTCAAAAGGTGAGAGATACCCTACGACGCAACAATTTAGGTATACACCCCAAAGAAATGAAAATATTATGTCCACACGAAAGCTTGTAGATACGCTCATAGCAACGTTATCCATAATAGCCAAAAAAGCGGACACAACCTAGATGTTCACAGATAAAATGTGCTATATGGTATATGGATACAGCGGAGTATCATTCAGCAATAAAAAGGAATGACGTCCTGACACGTGCTGTCACATGGATGACCCTTGAAAACATGCTAACCAAAAGAAGCCAGTCACAAAAAACCACATATTGTTTGACGCCATCTGTATGACATGTCCAGGATTGGCAAATCTGTAGAGTCAGAAAACAGACTCATGGTTGCCTAGGACTGAGAGGGGTGGATAGGGAGAATGAGAGGTGACTGCTAACGGGTATGGGGTTTCTCGGCATGTTTCACATGTTCTAAAATTGATCATAGTGATGGTTGCACATATCCGCAAAAAACCCTAAAAACCATCGAATTGTACACTTTATCTCAGTGACTTGTGTGTTCTGCGACTTACATTTCAATAAAAGAGGCACTTAAAAAAAGCGGTTGCTGAAGCTACCTAATTGATGAAAGGAGGGTTATGGGGGAGCTAGAAGCAAGAAGTGAGCATGGTCCGGCTTGGGAGAAGTCTTAGAAACAGGGATTGGATCATTCAAAAGGGATGTAGAACTAATTTATCTAAGGGCCGCAAAGGAAGGGTATAGGAACATGTAAGAAGTCAAAGATAGATCTGGTCGCCTTAGTGATTGGAAATGGCAGGGATTCTCTTTTAAGGAATACCAGCCCGTCCTGAATCAGGATTGGGTGACTCTGACCCGGCCTGATAGATGGTGGCCTGCTGCTTACGTGAACCAGTGGCAGAAGAAGTTACTGTGTCCAGTATTTCTAGTTGGCATACATTTGACAAAATGAAAATATGCTGTCTCTGCACCACCTTGCTTTTTAAGTCAGTTTATATTCTCTCAGGAGAATTCAGGGAAAAATTTCAGGCTGTGATCCGGTGTCGAGAAGATTCGTCTTTCTACAGTGGAAGCTTTTGCTCCACCGGACCATCAGCCATGTAGGTTTTCCAGGTGTTTTCAATTAAATATTAAAAGCTCATGAATCCGAGGGTCTCAGAGCCACCTAGGGTGGTAGAAAACTCTTAGTTATTTGTATCACTGTCAAAACAGAAAAGTTGAAGGCATTTTTCTTTAAAAAGAGGAACTGTACATGTATACAATATAGTAATCATATCAGCCACAGAATTCTTAATATCGCATTTGTTGTGATTCCAGCTTTCACGTAGAAAAATTATGTGTGCATGTGTGCACATGCTCAAATAAAAGAATCCCTTCAGGGGCACTATGTTGTTATGTATCAAGATATTCTCTTTTCTCCTCCTCCCCTCCCCCCACACCCCTCCTCGTCGTAAATTGGCTTATTAAAACTGGTTCACAAGCCTTCTTTTTTCCCCTTTGTGATTGCTTTGGTCTTGGATTTTCAGTGTAGGACTAAAAATTCAAGTCAGATTTCAGTTACCAGGATAATTTTCTTTGAATTTTAAATTTTTCTAAGTAAATGCATAGATTTTTAATGAACCCGGTATTCAGTGGGTTTGCTTTAAATTTAGCTGGAGAGTTAATTTCATGATTGATTTATTAGCCCTTTGAAAGTATAAAAAGTGGTATCTGTAGTTCATGAAGACTGAAAAACATCATCACATTTTGTTTAGCATCTTTTTAAAACCAATTAAAAGCTTTTCTAAAATGGATTGAACAGGAGAAAATAAAACATGTTCCCTAGGTCTTTATTTCAATCAAGTTTCCCTGTGTTGTGCAGGAGAAGAGATCGAGGGGGGGTAGAGGACTGAAAAGGGCTGTCCCAGCAGGGAGCCACGCCGGAGAAAAGCGCTGCTCTGAGAACTCAGCGGCCGCGGCTCAGAAAGCCCCCGGCCTGCTTCATCTACATGCAGAGTCACACAAGGCACGGGGGCGCTCACCGGCACCACAGAGGCTTCACATGTGCTTCCCTGCTGATTCCCGTGAAAAGCTAACAATTGGCTCGGAGGGTAAAAGACCACTGCAGTTCACCCTCCCTGAGCTGGATGTACAATTTGTCCAGTGTTAGGAAATGTCCGGCTTAGCAGTGAGAGGCTTGAAGACACCCCTCCTTCCAGTGAGATTCCTAAAGCCGGCTCTTTTACTCGGTGACACTGGGGCTCTTTTCAGGTTCTGCGGATTTATGGAAGTTGAGGGGAATGTGCTTTTCAAGATCAGGAGGATGAAAAGCCTTAGTCTTAATGTCGAGGAAGAAGCAGTAGCAAAGCCGTAAGGCCAGGTAAATCTTCCCGCAACCTGCAGCACCGACGGCTTTATTATTTTCCTCACAGATCTCTTCTGGCACCTTTTTTTCCTTTCGAGAGACAAAATCAAGTGCCTGCAGAGGAACTCCTCAAGCTGTAAAATGACAGGACTTCCCAGTTTCCTCAAGTGCGGGAGTAGTTAAGCCCATTAACCTGACTGCTTCAGTGCTCAGTTTACTTGACACTTGGGGGG